CATTCACATCCACACCAACATCCTTATTAATAGCTAGAATATAACAATGCAAACAAAAGCGATATCTAGATTTTTATTTCGTGAGTGTATGAACGTAAGCAGTCGATTCGTATATACAACATCAATTGATAAAAAAGGACATTAATACAATACAGTTTTTGAATGTGTTATAAAAATTTACGATCACTATTTTTTTGTAAAATATATTTTTTTTCAAAAATGTAAGAAAGTTTATTTAAAACTGGTTATTCTTGTTTAAGAATATAAATCACCATCATCATTATTTTGACCACGATGTCCACCTTGTGATGGTTGTTGTTGTTGATCAGGAAAACGAAATTGTGATCCAAAACCACGTGATTGTTGTAATGTTTGAGAAAACATTTCATACTTACGGATATCATCGTCACTAACTGATCGTCGAGCAAATCTCATCGCTTCTTCAAAATGACCTCGATGAATTTCTGATATTGGATTGGGTTCATCAGAATCCATTGCTGTTTGTTCATTGCGTTGTTGTTCTTTTTCAATTAACTCTCGAATTGCTAATTTACAAGCACGTTGACAAATTTCTGTTAAATCAGCACCACTAAAACCTTTGGTTTCCCTAGCCAAAAAATTCAAATCAACATCTTTTGCTATAGGTGATTTTCTTAAAGCAGCTGTTAAAATAGCAAAACGTGATTTCTCATCAGGCAATGGAATATAAATTAATTGATCAAGACGACCTATACGAATGATTTAATTAATTAAGAAAACAAGTATTATCATTGTATTACCTGGTCGAAGAATAGCTGAATCAATAATATCTGGTCGATTGGTTGCACCAATAATAAAAACATTTTTCTTTGCACCTATACCGTCCATTTCAGTTAAAATTTGATTAATAACTCGATCAGCAGCACCACCACCATCACCGGCACTACCACCTCGAGCTTTGGCTAAAATTAAACGAAAAATAAAAATATATTCTTTGATAATTATTTAAAGTTTACCAATTGAATCTAATTCATCAAAGAAGAGTACACATGGTGCTGCTTGACGAGCTTTATCAAATATATCACGTACATTAGCTTCAGATTCACCAAACCACATCGTTAATAATTCTGGACCTTTAACTGAAATAAAATTTGCTTGGCACTCATTCGCAATAGCTTTTGCTAATAATGTTTTACCTAAAATAAAATAAAAACTATGAATATAAATATAACTAGATATGATATATACATACCACAACCAGGTGGTCCATAAAAAAGAACACCACGTGATGGTGTCATACCAAATTTAAGAAATTTTTCTGGATATTTAACCGGATATTGGACAAGCTCTTGCAATTCAAGTTTAACACTTTCCAAACCACCAATATCTTTCCATGTTGTTGTTGGAATTTCAACAACTGTTTCACGTAATGCAGATGGACTTGATTGATCAAGTGCAAATCGAAAATTATCTTGAGTAACAGCTAATGAAGCAAGAACTTCAGCATCAATTGTATCTTCTTCTAAATCGATAACATCCATTTTTTCTCGAATTTGTTGTAAAGCTGCTTCTGAACATAATGATGCTATATCAGCACCAACATAACCATGTGTTTCATTACCAATTTGTTCAAGATCAACTTTATCATCTAATTTCATATTTTTTGTATGAATACGAAGAACTTCTAAACGACCAACAGCATCAGGTATGCCAATATCAACTTCACGATCAAAACGACCGAAACGACGAAGTGCTGGATCAATTGAATTTGGTCGATTTGTTGCTGCCATAACAAC